ACAGCTGCTCATGGGATATTTTGAGAGCAACAATATCTTAGTGTCACGGCAACACGGATTCCGCCGATATCGATCCTGTAGTACAAACTTGCTGCTAGCACTAGCAAGCTGGACCGAGCCAGCCGATGACAGAGTGGGAGTCGACGTTGTCTACCTGAACTTCTCGAAAACTTTCGATAGTTTGGACCACCGCATTCTCCTTCACAAGCTTCTAAACTATGGAGTCGTTTACTCTATACTCGTATTCTTCACTCAACGTCAGCTGCATGTAAGGGTCCCCATTCCATTTCCAACTCAATTGACGTCCAGTGTGGCGTGCCTCAACCGTCGGTACTGGGGACATGTTTATTCCTCAAATTCATCAAGGATCTTGCTGGTGTACTGCAGTCGAATTTCTTATTATTTGCAGATGAGAACAAAATTTGGCATGATATCAGGACATCGGATGATCATATGGCACTGGAAAGTGATCTCGACAGGGCTTATGCCTGGTCATCCGATATCCGGCTCCAGTTCAATGTGACCAGGTGCAAAGTCGCAAGCATACTCCATCAGCTTATCCATGAATATTGACTTGCGGACAAGCAGTTAGAAATGTTTCCCAAGAAAATGACCTCGGGGTGATGGTGTAGTACAATCTTGGCTGCTCGAAACAAGCTGCAAATGTAGTAAAAGGAGCCAGACAACATTTCGGACTTCCGGAATGCGTTGGGCATTTTTGAGCCATCAATCTTTCCGCAAATGCTGAAAACGTACGTAAGGCCTCAGGTGAAATCTGTGATCCAGGCCTGGTGTCCCTGGCGCAAGAGCGACGTCGGTGTACTTGAAGCTCCACAACGTAGAGCGACAAATCGCGCTAGAGGATTGTTTCATCTCTCCTACCAACGCAGACTGCAGTTCCTGAGATTGTACAGTGGTGAATATCGAAGTCAGCGAGGAGATATTATCATGGTTTACTTAATACTGACGAACCCAACTTACCCATGTCGCAATCTGTTGCAGCTGAGCCAAAATACCAACCAGAGAAGCCATCAGCTCAAAGTGGCTACGCCCTACAGTCGACTTGATTGTCAACGAAACCTTTTCTCACTTCCTGTGTCCCGTGCCTGGAATGCCCTTCAGATTACCATTCTCCTTGCCCCTACATTATCGCTTCTCAAATAGCGCATTGTTGAAACGCTTTCAAACTTGCATTACTTGATATAGTCTGTCCCACTTGGAGGACGAAATAACGCAAGCCTAACCGTATGCTTAACGGCCCTCTCCGCAACTTTGCGGTAAGGATACATGCAAAAGTGTCCATGGGAATAGCCTGGATGTAGCAAAATGGATTAACGTATCAACTCGGTCAAAGGAAGAAACAAACCAGTGAACACAGTTTTAAAAAATCCCATAGTATGATCAGAAGTCAGGGTAAGCGAACATATGTTTTCGATAATTCATCTTCAGGCTTATACAATTATATGCAAATCAAAATGTACAGACAGACATTACAAGTCGTTACTACTGGAGCGAGTTAATTGGATGCTGACAGCGCTGTCTGTTAAGCGACGACAGTCGACCTCGTGTGACCTCGTGGGTCAGAGGTCACCAGCCGTTTGGGCCAGGGCAGTCCCAAGCCTTTAGTTAGCTTCTTCTGAATACATAGCTCCGGTTCATACAGTCAGATCGCGATTGCTTCAGCGGCTTCTAGTAGTCGCTTACGGACGTAGTTCGAGCGGTGCTTTGGGACCTGATAAATAAGTTTGAATGAATTAGTGAAATTTGTGGTGTGCCCTGTATCAGCTAGGTGTGCAGCTATTGATGAGTTTGCTGTATTTCTACTTCCAGTTCTAAGCCCGACCGGGTGGCGTTCCTTCATTCTCTCGGAAAGACGCCGTGTCGTACGACCAATGTATTCCGCACCACAGGAGCATGAAAATGAGTAGATACACATTGAGTTGGTGTGGACAGGCCTCTTATCCCTTGAGTTTAGTCTCACCATCGGAATGCTAGTGAACTGGATTTCCATCTGCGCTGCTGGATAGGTGCGTCTGAGTGCCAACGAAAGACGACGAGTTAGTAGTTCCGTCGCAACCTCGCCCTTGTATGGCAGCTGTAGGAAGATTGGCTTACGTTCTACCGTAAAAACTACAGGCTTTTTCTTCTTCTTATGTTCCATGTTGGCTCTGATGAAGCTTTCCGGATAGCCGTTCTCCCTTAGCACTAAGCGAATGCGCTTTAATTCTTCCGCAAGCGTGTCATTCGAGCAGATAAGTTCAGCTCTGCTCACTAGGGTCTTTATCAAGTTCCGTTTAAACCTAAGTGCCACGAAGCTGTAGAAGTTTGTGTACTGCCCATTCCACGTACTTTTCCTGTAGACGCAGCGCTGTAGCGCACCCCCATCCAGTCTTTTCATAGCGACATCGAGGAAATGAAAGCGACTGCTTTCCTCTACTTCGCTGGTGAACTTTATTGCTGGATGGCCTTGGTTGAACGTGTCTGTGAGTTCCTCGATACTTTGAGACGACTGAAGCAAGACAAAAATGTCGTCCACGTAACGGCAATATAAACCGAGACTTGAGATCGTGGGTTTTAGCTTTCCCTGTTCCAGCATGCCCATGAAGACGTCGGCTAGGAACGGACCCAGTGGGGAACCCATGGCTACCCCATCGCACTGCCGGTATAATTCGCCATTGAATAGAAACTGAACATTAAAAGTGCATCTGAGCAATAGTTCCTTTAGGATAACCGTGGGTATGCCAACATTAATGTGGTTTACATCAACATACTCACAGATGTAGTTTATGGTCTCAACTAACGGTACGTTGGCTGGTCAGTACACAAACTTCTACAGCTTCGTGCCACTTAGGTTTAAACGGAACTTGATAAAGACCCTAGTGAGCCGAGCTGAACGTATCTGCTCGAATGACACGCTTGCGGAAGAATTAAAGTGCATTCGCTTAGTGCTAAGGGTGAACGGCTATCCGGAAAGCTTCATCAGAGCCAACATGGAACATAAGGAGAAGAAAAAGCCTGTAGTTTATACGATAGAACGTAAGCCAATCTTCCTACAGCTGCCATACAAGGGCGAGGTTGCGACGGAACTACTAACTCGTCGTCTTTCGTTGGCACTCAGACGCACCTATCCAGCAGCGCAGATGCAAATCCAGTTCACTAGCATTCCGATGGTGAGATTAAACTCAAGGGATAAGAGGCCTGTCCACACCAACTCAATGTGTATCTACTCATTTTCATGCTCCTGTGGAGCGGAATACATTGGTCGTACGACACGGCGTCTATCTGAGAGAATGAAGGAACACCACCCGGTCGGGCTTAGAACTGGAAGTAGAAATACAGCGAACTCATCAATAGCTGCACACCTAGCTGATACAGGGCACGCCACAAATTTCACTGATTCATTCAAACTTATTTATCAGGCCCCAAAGCACCGCTCGAACTACGTCCGTAAGCGACTACTAGAAGCCGCTGAAGCAATCGCGATCAGACTGTATGAACCGGAGCTATGTATTCAGAAGAAGCTAACTAAAGGCTTGGGACTGCCCTGGCCCAAACGGCTGGTGACCTCTGACCCACGAGGTCACACGAGGTCGACTGTCGTCGCTTAACAGACAGCGCTGTCAGCATCCAATTAACTCGCTCCAGTAGTAACGACTTGTAATGTCTGTCTGTACATTTTGATTTGCATATAATTGTATAAGCCTGAAGATGAATTATCGAAAACATATGTTCGCTTACCCTGGCTTCTGATCAAACCAGTGATCGTTGTCGTTTGCTTTTTTCTTTCTCACGCACTTACTGAACTATAACGGCTTTCTAGATTATTTTGCGTGTGCACATCCCATTCTCACTTAAAACTATGGTTATGCAATAATGCCTTTAACGCGGTGGACGCTTGTAATAACGAGTTACTTATTCGATTATCCTTCAAATTTTAATTTTTACTCCAACCATCCTGTGGGACTTGTCAAGCACATATATTTTGCCCGTGATAAATCATTGTCGATTGTTCATTCATTGTGTCCGTAAACATCATAATGATGATGATTAACTTTACTGAACTGAGCAGTCTTTGAACACTTGAGCGCAAATCCTTTACTTAGTCCAACGAAATGGTCATTCATCTATCATCTCCAGCATATGACAGGGGCTTGCTACCCTACGGTTCAATCACAATGAGAGATATGCGCAAGATTGAACGGATGAAAACTGCCAAGAAACTCAACCCAGTTCTATTGGTTCGTTTCACTAGCTCACGATAATCGAACCACCAATCCGGAAGAGTACCAGACCCTCCTTTTTACCTGTAGGGATGCGTCAGTGATGCGCATTCCCTCGGTTCCCTATCTCCAGAGATGACGACCTCCGCAGCAAGGTAGCTGTGTACGATGTAGCGTATGAAAACTAAGAGCAATTTTTGGTTACTGTTGAGTAGGGGGATTGACATCAGCTTTTGCTAGTTCGTCACAATAGCTCATAAGCACGAGGGTCTAACCACCAACCCAGATGTTCACCGGACGATCGTTTCGCCCCATGGGGCTAGTCAGGAGGGAACAATCCCTAACAAGGCGAAACGATAGACTGATGCTCTTTGGGATTGGTGGTCAGAATATCGCGCATGTGCGCTGCTGAACGAACGTGGAAATTTCATCTCCCATCATCACTACTCAACCTACTTATCAGATGCATGGCACGGAGACCGGTGCGTGAGGCTAGAACCGTACAGACTGTTCAGTCATCAAACGCGATCCTACGTTTTCATGACCGACCGTGTTTTACACACCACGCGCTGCATTGTGTGGCCTGTGGAGTGAATCCAGTTATCTGCGCTCTCTCTACTCGTCGGGCGGCTGCTGTCAGTTTTTTAGAAAAGTCCAGCAACACCCGAACTTTAGCCAAAATCCATTTCACCGTTCAAGATAACTCTGAGGATGCAGTGAAACTATAATGCATTCAGACTTCAGGAGTCAAGTTGCTATTAATACGCGTTTTCTTTTCCAGTTTCCAGATAAATTTCACTCTTAATCTAGAGTGATAATGAGGTTGGTGATTTTATAGATTGATGGATCAAATCGGGCACAATGGCAGCCAGTCACGACGTATCCGACGAGTGCCTTTGTTATCACGTGAAACCGGATGCCATCCATTGTGTAAAAATGTCCTCTTTGGTATGACTATGATGATGTTGGGAGAAGTGCTTGCTGAAAATCTCAAGCATTGCTTTTCATTCATGACAAGGAAAAGGCATAGTGAACCATGCGGTTCTGCGCAGCATATGCACACACCAAATGGACGCAGCAGAACGCAAGCTAGAATGGACGCTCTTTATGAATGTTGGCAAAAAAGGACGTTCTCTCAGACTAAAGTTGACTTCATGGAAGTGGGTCAGTAAACGTTTCATGCTTTTGACTAATGTGAGTTGCTGCGTATTTACTTAAGTAGAACTGTTCTTAATGATTTTGCAGCCTGCCTTTCGCTTCGGCAAACAACAGGCGTTTACCGATTACCTGGTGTTTGATAAAACACAAGGTTGCGAAGATAACTCTTTGCGATAAATCTCATCAGGCGTTTACAATTATAAAATGGAAATTTGTAGCAGGATAAGCCGGTGAAGGACGATAAAGATTAGCGAATCAGTACAATGCCAATATTTATCGCGCTTCATCAACCTATCCTGCTTCAGTTTTCCATTTTATAATTGTAAACGCCTGATGAGATTTATCCAAAAAAGTACGCTTCTCAACCTTGTGTTTTATCAAACAGTAAGTACTTTTATCCGAAACATATGAATCGGTTCGACTTGTCACCTTCACTTAAAGCACCGTAGTTGTTGGTTCTGCATACAGGTGTTAATGAGTACCATTCAACTGTTCATCCTAACTCTCTGTTGTTGGTTGTTACTAAGAAATATTAAACATGTCGGCGGATATCCAGTTAGAGTTGTAGCACATCACTCAGTGACTAGCTATTGTATCCTTTTACGTTGGAAAATGGGACAGAAATTGCAATGTTTTTCGGCTGGCGTAAAATGTTTAAACATCTCATCCACAAACAATGAGTACCATGCGAGATAAGTATTTTTAATCTTTCCGAAACCAACCTAAAATAGTGATACCACGAAAAGAAGGCAAATGCCACACAGCTGTGATAGAAAAGGTGAAATCACGCTGCCACCAGTTGCTAGCATATGCAATTTGTGCTTTTATAAAGTAAAGGGATGTAGCTCACATACTAGTCGACAAATCATGGAATGTTCAAATGCAATATCCGTCTCAGCTGCTTTTTCTTTTGCTAGTCACTCAACTTCACACCCCCACCTGTTCATCTGTTACCAACCAAAATTATCCGTTACCAAATGATTCTTGTTTCTATGATCCTACTCCGGATGGTTTCGTTGACACCCAGAGAGCTCGCCCAGTCACAAATCTTTGGCCTCGGTCTCCGTTCCGTCTGGCATGCTTCAATGTAGCTGCACTCGTGCGGATCGGGCAACAAGCTGGTCTTGAGCGCACACTGGAATCCCTCGCCATCGATGTTTGCTGTCTTTCCGAAACGTGCTTACAAAATCCCAGTACTGTGCTTGAATTGAGACCTTTCACCAACCACAGAGCCATCTTTCACCTACGTCTCTCCGGTAACGCAGAGGCAGCTGCGTCAGACTTGTTTGGCATTGGTGTAGCGGTTAGTAGAAAAGCGGAACCAGGACTTCTGGACTGGTTCCCGATTAATAACCGACCATGTACAGTTCGGCTTCGGGGGTCATGCAAGATAAACCGATGTGAGGAGAAACCTAACTTGTTTGTTATCTTAGCTTACGCTCCAGATGACTGCAGTTCCGACCTCGTCAAGGACAATTTCTACCGTGAACTTCATCAGCTCCTGAACAGAGTATGCAAATCCGACATTGTTGTCCTTCCCAGGGATCTCAACGCACGGGTGGATCGTCTGCTGACATGCGAAAGTCACCTCGGTGGTCATCATGCGTTCGATGAGAGCCGCACAGATAATGGAGAGAGACTTCTTACACCTCTGCTTTGGAGTGACGCTGATGAATTAGCTGAATTATACCAAAATCCTCACTACTACTCGTTATTAACCAACTTCTTTCCTGGAGCACCAACTTTCGGCATTCTAGCGGACGTTCCGCTAATTGGCAACCCCCTTCTGCGTCTCAATCATGGTCACAGATTCATCATATCACAATCACTTCCAGGTGGGAGGTAGTGTTTAGCATTGCACGTGCATCTGGTCAACTCTGCTTGACTCGGACCACGCTCTTGTTTGTGTCAACATCTGCATAAGTTTCGGAGGATTCCCGAAAATGAAGCGCTAAAAAATAGACACAAATAAACTATCTACGGTTTCGGTTCAGTCGGCTGCGACCCAACACAAGACATTGATGAACACTGGACTTGTATGCAGAGGACCATGCTCGTCCGGACAGCAAGTCTGTGGTCTTACTCAGGCACTTGGATCTCCACATGCTCAATGGATTTAGTTGACCGTCGCATGAATATCCCAGCGGAGTCTAATCGTGATGAAGTGCACAGTACCGTCAGTCGGCAGCTCAAACTAAGCATACGCAGTGACCGTGAAGCCTTTTGGTCCCAAAGCGCTTCGGAAATAGAAACTGCTGTCCTCTATGGCAATACTAGCAAGCGTTTCCAGCTCATTCGATACACTGGTCACAGAAAGCCTGATGTTAGTGAGACTATATGCAAAGCAGATGAATTGCCGATTGCCAACTTACAGAGACGCTTAGACTGATGTGCCGAACATTTGCATTCCCAGTTCAAATGGCACCCACCGTTCACTTATATCCCCTGCGAACCTAGATGCTCGCTCTGGGTCGTCACACTTGATCCACCCAGCGAAGCGGTTGTTTGTCTTGCGATTCGACACATAAGACGATTCAAAGCCGGCTGCTCAAACGGAATTCCTCCGGAGCTTTCCAAAAATGGCGGCTCATTTATATCAGCCAGATATCCTCATCGTTCGCCAAACTCTGGCATAAAAAAGCTGCATTGTTCCTGGGGCGAGTAAGTTATTGTACCGGTTTTAAAGGGATTACTCGCACTTCGTGTACCAATCACCGGGTGACTTGTTTCATTACGGTCGTCACCTCCATTCTACTCTGTAGACTATCTCGCATTCGAGAATCGCAGTACCGGGAAGAACAAGCTGGCTTCTGACCTGGCCGCGGGTTTGTGGATCAGATATTCACACTCCATCAAATCCTGGAACACCACCACCTTTACCAGAAGGTCTACTATCTTTGCATTCCTAGACATCCGGGCAGCATTCCACTCCGTTGATCGACCTGCACTATGGCGTTGTTTGATAAGGAACGGTGTTCAAAAAAAGTACACTGCCATCCTACGCGCACTGTATTTCTACATCTCTGGCAGAGTGAAGGTGTATGACAGGCTTTCGTCGTCTTTCGCTGTCATTAGCAGTGTACGACAAGGCTACCCTATGTCCCCATTCCTCTACAATTTTGTGATAGAAAACATCCTGCCAAAATTTTGGTGTACAACTATTACTGGGCAAGCGAGCAACCGACTTAAACTATGCCAATGATTTCGCCATACTTGGTAAGGACTCACGGAGCATGCAAACCATTCTAGACCGCTTGAGGATTGAAGCATCTAGGTGCGGAATGTGCTTTGCCCTGTCAAGGTGCAAAGTGCTGCTTCAGGATGGGCACTCTACTGTTCCCTTATTCAATATTGTAGGTACACAGCTTGAACAAGTGGAGAGCTTTGTCTATCTTGGCAACTGTGTATCTGCTGATGGTACCACTTGAATGGAAGTTTCTCTTAGCATCGCCAGAGATCGGTCGGCGTTTGTCAACCTGTAGCACTTGTGGCGTCGCCAGGATATCTCACTCTTGGAAAAGGGTCGTGATACAATGCCACCGTTCGGGCGGTATTGATATTTGGAAGTGAGTCATGGCCAATTCGCGTACACATCATCATCATCATCATCAACAGCAGTACATCAGCCATTTGAACTGATGCTTCGCTGCCATACAACCATGAGGACCTATGAAATAAAGTATAAGAAGGGGGAGAGAAGGGGGACTTACCTGAAAACCTTAATGCTCTAAGCAAACATTCAGGGTCAAGGCGCCTACACCTTGTGTAGACAACATATCATCACAAGCAGCTGGCTATCGTGCAAAAATAAGGCGGCATCCGAGAGACAACTTTCTCGCGGCTTTCACTGCCACGCGTCATAATCAGCCATTACCCCGCAGATAACTCAGCACCAAACACACTTTAAACAGGCAGTCCGATTAGGAGACGACAGCCGACGCGCCACTGGTGTCGGTTGCGAGCCATGTCCTGTAAAGTCTCGAGCCAAGCACAAGGTGAGTCACGTGGACTCCAGCCCGGAAGACGAGACGGACTAACGGCACCCAGTTTGGTCGTCAGTGGCTTCATTTCCCGGTGCCAAATCAACTTCTGTCCACCTCGAGCTTTGCGCCACCCTACACCTGGCAGACTAAACATGGCTCTCCTAGGTAAGCGGTGATCAGGCATACGTAGCACGTGCCCGAGCCAACGCAACTTATTCAGTGCTATCTGTTGTTCTGCGGAACTAGCATGATTATCACTACCCAGTACTCGCCTACGCACATCATCGTTTCGGATACGCTGGTGCCATCCGACACCAGCAGTGTTACGCAGACAACGATGATCAAAGACTTGAAGGTGCCTCAGATCTTCAGACCGAAGGGGCCAAATTTCACTACCATAGAGCAGAACGGCCCTCACTGTGGCCTTGTATACACGGCCTTTCAGACGGAGGGAAACACCCTTCTGTCTCCAAAGATGTCACAGGTTCAAGAAGATAGCTCTGGCTTTTGCAATGCGTGTGCTGACGTCAGTTTCTATGCGCCCACCATTGCTGATGCAGCTGCCAAAATAAGTGAAATGATCAACCACCTCGAGTTCCTCGTTAGCAAGCATCAAGGGGTCATCAAGTGGCTGGTGGTCCAGCAGCAACACTTTGCACTTTGAAGGTGCGAAGTGCATACCAAATAATGGGACCACTCTGGACAGGCTATTCAGGCTATTCGCGTACACGATATGCGCCGACTCTCTGCCTTCGACAACGAGTGCTTGAGGAGGATTGCTCGTGTGTGGTGGCAACTACACAGTGGCAGCAGTGAAGTCAGAAATCGTGACTTTGGAAATGTGGGTATTCCCTTCGGCAAGCTGGTTTTGCTGCGCCATTTTGGATGACTCGATCATGTGCTGTGTAATTCAGCTGAGCGTTTGCCCAATCGCATTCTGTTTGATCGTGCAGGAAGCAACTGGAAGAGACCACGTGTTGGTTCACCATCCACCTTCCGACAACAAATTTCTTCGTTGACTTTACGTCTTGCCACCATTGAATCCACAGATCTGCCTGGTTGAGGACCAAAGGACGAGGAGTGCCGATGGCTGGAAACAATTCAGTATATGGCTCGTAATCGAACTCAGCGTAGGATCGGTGTATATTACTGCTTAGATTTGGATACTTAATGGGTAACAAATAAAACTTTCAAACGAAATTAAAATATGGCGTGTGCAAAATAACATAAATGTTCCGTTGTTTTTTATTGCGACATAACAGCTGAATTGTGTTGCTCACCTTCAGTTAATGTGCCGTGGTGTTTATACGGTGTTCAACCTGTTTTCTTTTAGTAATTTCCATGGTTATGTTTGGTTCTATATATGGTTCATAGACTGCTGACTATTCTACTGACTATACTACTAGTCGGCAACTAGCTCTCATAAAATTTGATCAAGTACCTACTGTCCAGCGTTCTTCGTCCATGTGCAAGATCCAGGTTTTATTTCGAACGAGTTTTGACGTCACACATGAATCTGACGGATTTGATCACTTGAAAATTTGCATCATTGGAGGTGCCGGAGTGAAATATTCATAGAGTTGAACTCATCATTTTCGTCACAGCAAAACGATGAGTGGTGTGCTTGATTGTTCTGTTTAGTTTTCTGCTGGCTATTGTGAAAAATATGTGGCTGCAACTACAACTTAATACAAAATAAGGGCCTGAGGCTATGATTTCCTTTGCGTTTTTGAAATGTTGGTCCTCACAACTTCTGGCGTAAAAAGCGGGAAGACGAGGATGGTGCTTACTAACAAGTTTTATTATTATATTTTCTTCCTTTATACTTGAAAATACTGTTTCTTGCAGCAAGGCTGTGTTATTATTTAAGTTGTGTTCGCCGAGCTGGCCAACTTGACTACAGACCTTCCGTCACCATTCTTGTTGACATCAGTGCATGATTGATAATGGTCTGTTACTAGGACACAAATTGTGGTCATTAGCTGGAGCCACGGGCGATATCCAATTTGCTCGGTCAATATGCGTTACCAGTCAGTTTTGAGTGGACTAAAATATTGTGTAAATATTGGCAGCTTTTCGAGTTTTTCACAACAGTGGACATTTAGAATCACGGCTGCAACACACATGAATTTTTACATCGCATCCCAGATAGCTTCAATTTTAGTGTACCGAGATATGCATGTCCACCCATTTTAGTGGATAAACCTCAGGCACGTCTATCAGATACCATGCGAGTACCCGCCTTAACGTTCAAGTATATGGCGACACGTAACACAAAGGTCCGCTCACGCCAACAGACTTGAAGTATTTGGCAGACTACCCACGAGTACCTTTCCAAGGGATTGAAGAGAAGACACAGAAGTGACTGGACGAAGGTTTAGTGTGGTGTACACCGATCCCATGTATTGGCAAATAAATATGCCGCCGGACGATGCGAAGCTAGCCAAAGAAGAATGTGAGGGACCGGACGATTGAGCGGCGTACTGAATCCAACCGTGGCCCTGTGTGTATCTATTACATGTGGGTTGGGTCAGACAAAAATTTCAACATACCTTTCAGCATTCCGCAAACAACCTCTAAGTGTAAAATAAGAAGGTACTTTTATTTAGTATTTCACATGACATACTCAGACAGTCCGGGGAATCTCAAGACCGCTAGAGGTGTGCAAATACACCTTGTGTTTTTTTTCACTAGCAACCTCGACTGCGAACTATAGTAACAGAGCATACCAATGACCTTCTAAAATGTTGTTTTGCTTTTAAACTGTATGCTATGTTAGATAGCAATGGATATATGGCTTTGATCTTTTCAATGTAGCAGAAAATCATCACGCTTATCTATGTTAATCTAACGTGGGCATAAACCCAACATTTTCCCTGGTCTTATTGGGTCACTGACGTTGAAGTAGTGCGCATGGCTTGGGTTGCTAAGTTTATAAATTTCACTAGATCGAACTGCTTGCTCACAGACCTTCATAGCACAAAAACGTTGGCGACCTCCACCCCGCTTTGAAAGTGTACATACCTTTATTTCAGGGCACCACTTGAATGTTCTGACAGTACTGTGAAGCTGCGGCATTTATTGATTCCGTCTAAATAGTACGCCAACAGACGGTTAAACAAGACGGCTGAGAGCACTATGCATTTGGTAAAGATTGGGGCTTGGTGAAAAGCTAGCATTTTGGACAAATGCGGTGAAAAATTGTAGTGCCTCTGGCCATCGTCTTCTAGGATGCACAGGAAAAATTAGTAAGATGTCTTCTCGGGAGTTTTGTAGTGTTGCTCCACATACCGGAGGAGTATTTACAACTACTTACAGAAATAAAACGAATCCGTAGTTTGTACGCAGTGTTACTGTAAACATCTTATTATTTAAACAGGCAAAGTGGCAAATAGGGAAAATCAGTCATCCGGTTACCAGAAAAATCCTTCAATATATACATAGCGCATGTGCCACTCATGAGGAAAAACCGGAATTGATAATGGAACCAACTTAAAGTCTCACTAAAATTACCTATTTGAGTGAAATGAAAGACCATTCATGTCAGCCTGTCTCATCGCGCATTAAACAGTCTATTTCTCTCTAGGATAGTATCATTCAAAGTCATATGAGTTTGATGTTGTGCACGAATACTTGTACACAATTATATGCCATCTTGATTCCTTTATGTTTCAGGAAGACTGGGCTTAGTAGGAGCATTCCAAGGATTCTACCAACATTTCTACTACACGTGGTTGGATAAAAAGCTGCTCGGAAATTCCATAACCGTGGTCGCGAAAAAAGTTATTCTCGATGAATTGGGGATAGCTCCAACCAGCATCTTTCTATTTTTTCTCAGTAAGTGATCTTTATAATCAGGATAAAGTTAGCTTGTTATGATCACTGTGCTTGGTACAATTACAGCGCAAAATAACGGAGAAAATAAGTGACAAGGGACGGAGGTTTTCTTTCCAATTGGAAAGAAAATGATTGCATATCATGCTTTCTAACTGTTGTAATGTGGCATTATTAACTAGCAGAAAATATTTGTAAGATTGAGCCATTTGTCCCTTCTGTGATACGATGAAGCAATGCACACGTAGCCAGGAATAGAGTGTTGTACGTTGTGCGCTCTGGATACTTGTGGAACATCCGCTGAGTATGACTGAGAAAGTCTAGGTATTTACATCAAAATTAACGAGTATGCCTAGGAATAACAGAAATGCGAATATTAGCCATTCATTCATTGTCTCAAGTGCGAGAGTGGAGCCAAGTTTAAGCAATAGATTCGCTTGGGTCCCGAGCTTTTAATTTAACCTCTGGGTTACATCGAAACAAGTCTGGGGAGTAACTACGTTACTTTAAAAATACTTATCGCAATGTAATGTGGATACACCTCAAAAATATCCTTTCCGTGTTGAAACACCTGGATGAGTACAAGGTAAACAACAACATCAGGAAAGTGTAGGTTACCGTACTTGTGAATGTACAAGCAGGCCACAAACACAGATTTCGCCTTCTGAACCCCGCAGCTCTTTTATTGGGTCACATGGCTCTACCCAACTGGCTCAGTGTATAGCAAATAGCGAGATAAATGAATAGATAAATAACTTTTTATATTTACCGACAAACCGTACAGGGCCTCATAAGCGCGAGCGATCTTTGGTATAGTTAATAGGTTTCATGGTTTATGCAGCGCAAATCATAATAGTAAAGGAAAGTTAAATAATATAATTTCGGATCATGTTATTTTTCCTTTGGTCCCAGACCCGAGTATCTAATATTTGAAATTTACCGATATTTGTATCATCATTTTCTAGTTTGTGGGGCTTAGGACTAGAAAATAAAAGGGAGGTGATACTAGGCTGCACTGACATAGGATTTGGTATTGTAGGTAAGGACATGTAGTGGGTAAGCTAGTTGTAAGCAAATATCAGCTCAAATGTTTTTTTATACCAGCTTCTGTCAATATTTCTAGAGTGTGCTTTGAGTCAAAAATCTGCAACCCATTTGATATAGTGAAGAACGTCTGTAGGGAATATCGAAATGTGACAAAGCTTGCACTCATGCGTATATGTAGGGGTAGTTTATTCCACAGATCAGTGTACCTCACTAAGAAGAAATTCGATCGAGTTTTAAGAGTTGCAAGGTTTATGCGTATCAAATAGCCGCCATTAAGTGTGGGGTAGACTGCAGTGTTCCGTAGTTAAAGTGCGTTGCTGTCTGCGTAAATATGTTGGTTTATAATGTTGTAGAAGTAAAGGAGGTTGTTCTTTAAGCATCTTAGCCAAAGAGGATCGAGTTGAAGTTTTCGACAGCAATCATAATAACAGATTTGAGCAGCGCCCAATGACCAGCTTGGTAAATGATCATTGTACGTTTTATACAGCCTCTCTGTCTTTCTTTCTCGATTGGCTGTGAATGATAGTGCAGTATCCCAGAGTCAGTCGTGATATTGTCTTGAATGACTCAAATCGTGCTTCAGTTAGGGGAAAGTTCTGATGCTATATACGCAAAACTGCCTTGCTTTTGCAGCCTGATAAACAATGAACAATGAACAAGGATTTATAACGGGTAAAAAAGCAGGTGCTTAACGTGTCCCGTGGGGTGTTCAGAGTGAAACAAAGATAGATCAAGGGATAATGGAGTCGTCAGTTCGGAAGATCACAGAGTTAACTGCACTGCCGTATAATGGGAGCTTGAAATGAGAATGTACAGACACAAAGCAATAAGGGGAGTGGTTATTGGCCACATAATAGGCGAGAAAAAATAAAAAAGATAGCAAGGACAACGGTTACTCTTGTGCAACCATCTTGGGTCGACAGGATAAAGAAATCCAGTTTCTATAGTAGTAGCGATTATCAAATTTCGTGCAAGGGGTTTGGAGTGACTCATTCTCGAGTAGGGTTATCGCACTATCCACTGTTTGTTGTGCATTAGTGCCAGCACCTGGTGACCATGAGCTATTGCATGTAGTGTAAATGTGACAGAGTATCGTCAAGGCGATTTTTAAAAAGGGATAGAGCGGGTGCAGTAATTACATGTTCTGGGAAGGCGTTCCAGCGCTCTCACACTCGAAGGGAGAAATAGTTTGGCTAACATTCCAGGTGGCTGTACTGCGTGACCAAGTTTAACTGGTGTCCTCTTAGGGGGTGTTTTGACTGAGTATTAGAAGGGAATGGCATGGGTGGTTGGGGTTTCTCAGGATCAGGTACACCATTATAAGATCTCCCTTAGACACCGATAACGTCCACTGTATATTTTGAGAGTCTCCAGCTTGAGTGGGTAGGGGAGGGTGGTCAAACCTCTGACGCTCTTCGTTGTCCTACGTTGTGCAGTATCGAGCGCCGTGAGATGGTGATTTAGGCAGGATTGCCACGCTTGAATAGCGTATTCCGTGTGTGGCTTCGCGTAGCATTCAGCATTTTTGGAAGGGCTGAACGGCCAAACTTCTGGAAAGCTCTGCGAAGAAGGCCGAGGTACTGGTTTGCTTTCTTAGCTGTCTTTTTAGTCTGCTTCAAACAACCGAAGTCATCTTGAACTATCACGCCGAGGTCGCACTCGTGAGAAGCCCGCTGTAGAATTTGTGGTCCTTGGCGGTACTTGTACATACTCTTGTGCCGTATGCTGAGATCTTTGCACTTGGTGACGTTGAAATGCAGCATGTTCTCGATGGACCATGTGTACGCTTTGTCCAGGTCCTCCTGTACCACTGTATGATTCTCCACTGTAGCTATAGTGCGCCATTTCTTTAGATCATCAGCAAATAGTAAAGAGTTAGAAGATAGCACGCTCGCGACATCATTTATGATAACGAGGAATAGGCGGGGTCCAAGTACCGAGCCTTCAGGTACTCCGCACTGAACTTCGATGGATTCCGACAGATTACTTCTAACCCTCACATTCAGGTGACGTTGCACGAGAAAGTCTCCTATCCAGCCCAGAACAAGATCGCAGATTCTATATTTCTGGAGTTTGTGGAGGAGAATGCGATGGTCTAGACGGTCAAATGCCTTTGAGAAATCCAAGTACGCCGCGTCCAATCCTACACCACTGTCCACAGATTCCGTCCAGTTTGCACGCGCAATCAACGGATTAGTGGCACAGGAGCAATTTTGGCGAAATACGTGCTGCTCCGGAACGAGAATTTCGTTATTCTGCAGGTACCCTCTCAAGGCCTCAGCTACAATGCACTCCATAACCTTGGAGATCACAGGAAGTAGTGTTATCGGGCGACAATTTGCGGGTTTAGCAGGACTGCCATATTTGTAGATTGGCCCTGAAGATTCTGTGCTTCCCCATCGTGGGTACGTATATCTCGTTCAGACATCGATGAAACAAAATAGCTATAGGCGCCGCCACACTAATGACAGCAGTTTCCAACGCTTTCGGTCGAATGCCATCCGCACCTGAGGAGCTGAACTCGCGCAGACATTAACCTCTTCAGTACAGCTGCAGAGGGAAACGATATGCGTTTAAGCCTTGTTGGCGGCGTTATCTGCTTAGCCAGGAAATATGACGATTGCACGCTTTGGAAGGTACGGCCAAATTATTGTCCAAGAAAGTTGGCCGCCACTTTTGCGGTTTGGGATAATCCGCGTGCTATGTGCAGAATATGAATACCGCGCTTAGCACGCGCATATTGTTTCCGTGTCTGTATAGCAATTTGGGATTGGAGCAAAACGTTTCAATTAGATCTTGTTTATTCTTCAGTTTATCCTCCCGAACGAGTTTGACACAGTGGTTTCATTGTAATGTGTAGACATCCCAGGTATGATCGTTCGGGGAGGCTAGGTAGGTGTGCAATGCCAAGTCCCTTAATGCCGTGCATTAACGTGTCCTGCTCCTTACGAAAGACTTCATCCTTTTAGGCCGGCAGAGTTTGGTTTTACTTATGAATGGAACGATTTTGATGAGTATTTTTGTTCGTCGCAATCAGCCGATAATTCAGATATGTCGACCAGCTGTCCGGAAAAGCACCAGACGGCCGTTTCGCCCTATTGGGGCTCATCAGTGGTGCGCATCCTTCGGTTCTGTGCAGAGGATCGAACCCATGACTGCTAGTGGCTCTTGCCAACCAACCCGCAGCTTATGCAACTGCGCCATGGAGGACGGTATCTGACCATCTTGAATTGTTAGCTAAATGCGATATAGCCCGACGCATCCTCCACTGCCATGCAGATGACAGCGGTCGGCCTTCCGGCGTCAGGACTTCCCGGTTACGGCAGCTATGAATCGACATAGAATTTTGTGGAATCCGTACGGGCGAATTGGTATTAATTATGAATGGAAGGATGCCTCGGGCTATATCGCATTTAGCTAACAATTCATGATAGTCAGATACCGTCCTCCATGGCGCAGTTGCATAGGCTGCGGGCTAGTTGGCAAGAGCCACTAGCAGTCATGGGTTCGATCCTCCGCACAGGACCGAAGGATGCGCACCACTGATGAGCCCCAATAGGGCGAAACGGCCTTCTGGTGCTTTTCCGGACAGCTGGTGGACATATCTGAATTGTCGGCTGAGTTTGGTTTTAGGTGGGATTGCCACGAGCTTGATAAGTATGATGAAGTATTCTCCGCAGGCTACCTCAGGGGTCAAATCGACTAAGAACAACCAGCTTTTTGTTGCAATGAAGTCGGACAGGTCGTCAAAGTTGGTTACGACACGACATTCCTCGGCATGTTCTTTAGGATAATAAGCGTAGCACATGTGATGAATTACTAGCTTCGCATGATCACTGCGGCCCAAAGGAGTAACAGTTATCACTCTCTCGACCATCAGTTCTTCGTTGGTGAACATTCGGTCCAATATGGATGGCCTGTCAGTTCCCCTGAACTTGGTGGACGTAGTGACGTGG